ACAATTGCTATTGCAACCAAAGAAGTTATGTGCATAAGTTAAATCACATACACGTTTAAATATCTGGAGGATATGGCCATTTGCGTACACTACTGGGCTTGACAAGCAGCACAGGTTGCACTGGCTGGAAAGGGATGTTTTATTTTAAGTAAGAAGGCACGCCCGGTCTCAACTCTATGTCACCTTCAGACAGGGTGTAGCTCATCGTAAAAGTTCAAACCACTACTTCATAAATCCTATTTATGTTAATTTCAAATGCTTACTGCGATTACTCATTGTTTGGCAGTCTTGATTTTTGTGTCCGTCCCAACTGGATCTCTGATACTAAAAAATACTTCTATCTTGAAGAAAGAACTTCCTGGCACTCAAATTAAATACAACTGCTGCTTTATTTGGGACCCATACTTTTCACAGCTGTCTACCCTTGGTGGTAGGTAATTTCTCAAGGCCTAGAGCCTAAACTTGGAAAACAAGAAAGATACTGCCTATACCCTGTAGACTGGGGGATTTTAAGGCCCCTTTAGATGGGAGGTAAGCACTGGTGCCTTGTACAGAGACAAGATAGTGTCCCTCCATAGCTAACCTGGAGTACCTGACTGCAGGCTTACCTAGCTACCCTCTCTACCCCCGTGTAATCTGTAGAATAAAATCTCCTCAAAATCCCACGCGAGTCCCGAACAGTCAGTCGGTCGCTTCCTCAAGCTCTGCTTGAGCGCCGGCTGTTGAACTGGCTGTGCCTGGTCTGACGGAGACAGCGTCACACCGAGATCCCGCAGGCATTCATAATACAGATGTTTGCCAAATAAGTGTGTGTGGGATAATGTTTATAAACTGAAAAATAAAACCCGGTGGGATATCCTGCCACCTAAGCTCAGGCATTAGTTCTAACAAGAGGTGAGCAGCAATCCCATTGGAATCTGTTGGCATGCCTTATTAATTAGTCAGAGGATGGCTGTCAAACATGCAGGCCCTGCACAGGCCAGCCTTCATCAGGAGGTGCATGCTTATTTGTCTAATGTCAGCGTCTGTTCCTTTCAAGATGCTACCTGACTAGGTACATAAATAACATATGGTAAGAATCTATAACTCTTGTGCGGGTCTTGCCTCTGATAATGATATAAAAACGTATCAGCTTCCTGATTCTGCACTTCAACAATGCTGTTCAACCAAGCAGGAAGAAATAAAGTAACTAGCTAACTGAAGTCTAGGTTTTAAAAAGCTTTTATTGGTTCAGGAGCTAAGGACAATAATATTAAAGTCCTTTAAGCACTTCTTTATGAGGTGCAGCTATGCTCTGAGGGGAAAAAAAGGCTCTAAAATTGGTAGCTGAGTTTACGATTTGAATTGTCTTCGCAGCAGATTTACTCGATTTACTTGTCTTTTCTTCCCCCCCCAAATGCATGCAATGAAAGCTTAAGTCATATTCCATTCTTGGTCATTTTTACAACTTCTTAGTAATAACCGTTCTTTCGTTGCTATTTAATTAATAATTTTACGGATAGTGTATAAGCCAGGGTAAAATCCAGTTCACTCTCCGAGTTGCCTTGGCTTGGCACAGAAATAAATAGTAATTAAATGAAGCATCTAGCATCCTGTTGACAAGAAATGAAACAGTAGGTGTGGAAACCACTGGGAAGTTTGGCTGCCAGATATTGTAATGAACTGAAGATTAACGTTCTTGGGATTGTCCAAATGTGAACCATGTACAAATGCTGTCTGGGAAAGGGATCTTCTACATGGAGGAAAACAAAATGAAGCCCTTTCTTGGACCTGTCTGCTAAATAACTTTTTAGTACACAGAATCTGTGCTTTACACAAGGGGGAATCTTCCCCAGGTTGTGTGTGTCCAATGGGTTTTTGCAGATGTTGGTTATTTTCACTGTCCTCTATGCAGACTTCTGGCCATCAGTTTTCTGGCAGTCTGATTGCAATTGCCTGCAAATGAACACAAACTAGCTGAGTGGTTCCATCCCGTGTGCAGGAGCTGTAAAAAGCAGTGTTTTCCTAAAGATAAAACACGAGTTCCTTATAGGCCTTGAGAAGTAAATGGGAGGTATATGCTTGCAGCAGGTGAGCCTGTCCTGAAAACAAGACTCCTTTACCCACAAGAAGCCTTTCATCAAGGAGACAAAAGTGCAGCACTTCCAGGCATGCTGGAGGTGATATGGATGCCTCAGTCTGTCAGTGCCCTGTCCTCTTAGGCCCCAGGGCTGTTTTTGCATTACAGCTTCGTACAGAGATTAGTGGCTGGTCCTGAAATGCAGGGAAACATTTCTGTCATTTTTTTCTCTTTGCACAGAGTTTAAGATCATTGCAGTTTTGCACTCATCGTTCAGTGGGAGCTTGTTTGATTTCTGTGCTGGAGCTTGATCAAAGGTCCACTGAAATAAACACACCACTTACACTGAGCTTCATGGGCTTGGGAATCAGGCAGTTCATCTTCCTGAAAAATTTCCCAGAAGTAGAGCTGTAAAGAAGTATTTGAATGAAGTCATGAAACTTGTTTGGCACACAGGAAGGGCAGGGAGTTCTGGAAAGAAGCTGCAGCTTTACAGAGAAAATGAAGGCAAGGGCAAGGCAAGGATATGTTTAGGAAGGATGGTTGGACTAAGTGGTTGAGAAAGAAGTTGAAAGAAAGCATCACAGACCTATACAGGGAGATAGAGATGAAAGGCCCAAGATGAGAATCAAGTATTCAAACTGAGCACAAAAAGCAAGAGGAAATAATTGGCAAGGTTCAAATGAAAAATGGCATGGATAGAATGGAAGGAGAGAAGACTTGGAATACTACTAGTAGAGAAAGGCTATACAACACAAAGTCAAAACTAAGAGGAAGAGGTCTAAAATAGCGCATAATTTTGTGGCTGGAGTACTTGAGGGAAGACTTGTATCGGACAGATCTGAGCCTCCTTGTGTAATGCAGGATCCAGTAGGACCCTGATAAGCTTTGTAATGATACCCAGCAAGGCCACTGTCGTGGTTCAGCCCCAGCCAGCAACTAAGCACCACGCAGCTGCTCGCTCGCTCCCCCCACCCCGGTGGGATGGGGGAGAGAATCAGAAAAAAAAGTAAAACCCGTGGGTTGAGATCTCCTGGGTTGAGATAAGAACAGTTTAATAATTGAAATAAAATAAAGTAAAACAGTAGTGGTAATAATAACAATATAATAATAGTAATAATAATATACAAAGCAAGTGATGCACAATGCAATTGCTCACCACCCGCCGACCGATACCCAGCCAGTTCCTGAGCAGCAATCACTGCCCCCCGGCCAACTCCCTGCAGCTTATATACTGAGCATGACGTCCTATTCTGTAGAATACCCCTTTGGGCAGTTTGGATCAACTATTCTGGCTGTGCCCCCTCCCAGCTTCTTGTGCACCTGGCAGAGCATGGGAAGCTGAAAAGTCCTTGGCTAGCATAAACAGTACTTAGCAACAACTAAAACATCAGTGTGTTATCAACATTCTTCTCATACTAAATTCAAACCACAGCACTGTGCCTGCTACTAGGAAGAAAATTAACTCTATCCCAGCTGAAACCAGGACAGCCACTCAAGAGGACATACTTTATTTAAGGGTAAGCCTTAAAACAGAGTGGTCTTACTTCCTTCGGAATCAGTAGTTAAGGCTGCAGGGATGTGCTGGTTGGCTCTAAGTGAGTATTAGTGTTCAAAGATATTTGATGACTACAAGTGAGCATTAATATTCAAAGACATTTGATACTTTAAAAAAAAAAGAGGGGGTGGGACAAGAATAAAACAGTGGAAGTGAAACTTCTGTTTAAAAAAGGTGTTAAGATTCTGTTTCCCTAAAAAAAAAAAACCCCACAAAACCCCAAAAAACCCCAAAGGACAAACATGCAGTCCTATTCATCTATAACATTTTTTGCTTATTGGTGCTCACCAGAATACAATGTCTCAGTCCTGCTCAAACACAGGTTGCAGTAGTTTGAGTCTTGTTCTTCTGTAAGGTATGCACGTACAGAGGAGCATTCTTGTGAGTTCTAGATTCCATGCTTTACTTTTTAAGGGCTTAATTTGATGAGTTCTGAAGGTATAATCATCATCTTACCCTGTCAAGGTCTATTATTCCATATCCCATCTTATTTTATCCCATCTGATATTATTGCATTTCTTATCTTACTTGATACTGAGCTATCAATATATAATCTTCGTTTGGCCAACAGGTAACAAGAAAAACTAATGGGCAGATAAATCATTACATCTGGCACTGTGAACATATACAGATAAAATAACTTATAAAGCTTATTCATATGTCACATTTTTGGTGCAGTGCGCAAAGGTGCTCTTGGGTTAGGTCAGGGTAGACTTAAAGATCCTAGAGCGTTTCCTGGGTGTGAAGAAGAACTGTGCAGATAAGCAGTACTGTGCCAAAAATAAGTTTGAGATGTGAAGAGAGGAACCTAGGGAAGGAGGGGTAGGAATTGTGCTGAAGGTATGAGCACCAGAAGGAACAAGAGCAGAGATCCTTAGAAAGGTTCTTAAAACTGTGAGCAGTGGTGCCACCAAAGCCTGTTTTCTGATAGAGTTGTATTTCAAGGCTGCATATATCCCAGCATGGAACTCTGATATTTTCCAAAGGTTAAGCAGAAGCTTTGATAGGAGTTACTGCCTTCCCAGATACTGTTTTTATGAAACTCATAAAAACTTAATAACGCACTGTCATATTTGGTTGTAATTGGAAAATAGCTTCAAAAGATTTCTAGGGGAGAAGAGACTGGCTCACACATGTACATAAGCTTTAAAACAAGTATTTTCTGCCTGGATTTTAATGTCAGATGCTTTGGTTGCGGTGTCTCTTTTGCTTTTAATGACCAAGTTTGAGAAAAGAAAGTGTCATTCATTCATCACTGATGTCAATGTAGTTAATTTGTATTCATACAGAACCCATGCCATTAAAGTTCATTCAAATTCAGTGTTACTCCTTTTTCAGAGTCTTGTCCAACAGCAACAAAAAATCTCATTTCCTTAATTCTAGGGATGTAACCCTCTTGCTGAGACTGGTCGAAGCAAACTGCAAAATCAAAGAGCTGTCCTAAACCAACAGATCTTAAGAGCAGTAAGAATGAGAGCTGGCGCTGAAAATCTTTTAAGGTATGTGTCATGATTTCCTAGTTTTCTTGCCTGAGCAAAAAAAAGTTTTTTGTTTTTTTTTTTTTTAATTTTTTAAAAGTCTTTTAGCTATTGCTTTTTCCCAGTCTGCCTAACCACTCCACTAACATGCTGCGTAAATTACTGCTGGATGTTTTGTGAATCTCCTTGGAGTTTTTTTAACGCTGTAGCTCTGTAGAGTTATTATCTGCTATAAAGTGCACTTTCAAAGCCGCTGTGTTGTAGCAAATGAGCTGAATGTTAGACTGTCTTATGTTGCTCTGTTTGATCAGCTTTATTGCTAATGATAATGGCAAGTGAACCTTGCTGAATATTTTAATGACTCCTTTCCATGTAGTAGTGATACAGGAGTAGCAGGGCAGCACACATCTAATTTGAGCTGGGTTACAGTTGCTGCCAAATTCTCCTACAGTTTGAGGTAACTGGAAGAGGCATTGACCTTTATCTATTACATTTTGCCCACCAAATCTTTTTTTAAGACATAGTTTCTTACGTGCTGTCCCCATAGGAATAGCCTAATGTTGACCCTGTCTTGAGGTTATTACATCCTGTAATTAACTGCTTAGCAAACAGTCCTGTAGCTTTCCAACAATCCATCCCTCCGCTACACAGAAGAACCAAAAATTTCCCCAATACTCATCTGCAATAGTGTCTGTTTCTCTGCAACTGCAGGAACAACGAGTGTCTGAGAACAAAATAGTCAATATACTTCCCTTAGAGAAGTGAAAATGCTTGGATAAATTAACTTTTCTTAAACTTGCCGTTAATTGATAGGTTGCCCGTTGCCTGTCACCTGCCTTTATCGCCACTCTTGGCAAGAGAGGCGATAGGTCCAAAGCTTACGTAGTTTTAGCCTCTGTGACTGACTAGGTTTTGCTTTGTTTTCTGATAATTGACTTAAGGAGTAAGGCTTAGGGTCTTTTGCTACCTTTTGTATGCATAGCAAAATTCTTACATCCGCTTTTGAAACTGAACACTGTTCATGCAGTAGATGTTGCTGCATGCCATCTCAGGAGTGTTTTGGAAAGGCTAAGAGATGAGTAGTATCTAATGTGAACACTGGTTAGTCTAGCATTCAACCTAAAGGTGTCTTAAAGTTTGTCTCCTGATACCAATATTAACTGCTGAAATACTGAAGTTGCTATTGACAAGAGTGGGAACTAAGCCTATTTGAAGAGTAGAGGATCAGACTTATTTATAAGTTATTAAAAATCTAAAATGAATTTACACCTGTTAGACTATTGAAACCTGCTAACTCTTTGAAAGAAGCAATTTTAAAAGTAACCCAACCACTAGATAGTTGACATGACTATATGTATTTACAGTCTCCTAAGGAAAAACATAAATAAATTAGCTTTATGTTTTCAGATTCTATTTGCATTTTATCACATTCTAAAAGAAGCAAACCAATTGCTGTCCACAAGGAGCTTCCTGCAATAGGACTTGAGAAAAAACTGGAAATGCAGGTTTCTTTATTTCTGGCTGAAAGTAAATGCTAGGCTTGAAACAAATGATCCGTAATAGTGCAAAGACTTGTTTTTAGAACTTCTGAAAGTCACCCTCTCCTTTTCATTGTCTATTCTTTTGGAAGTTCTGAGTTAAAACTGAATTCAGAGTAGAGTTACGTGGATCTTAAGGTTATCACATTGCCCCTGTTGCTGTCTTTTGCTGTTTGTCATTACAAAGTATGTCTACAGTGCAACAACATGAAAAGGTAATCAAATCAACTCCAAATTGGCATGGATGTTGGGAGGAATATAGCCATATTAGAGAAGTTCACCTGGATGGACCATTGGGGTTTCTGAGACAGGTATTAGAATCCCTCCTCTGGAGGGTGGTAAGCTCGACCAAACATGGAGACTTAATAACATCATAATTAAATTTCTGCTAGCATCAAAGCTCGCCTGTAACTGGTGGTGGTGCTGCCTTTGTCAAGGAGGATCCACTCCACCCTATATTTGTGTCTAGTTTGGCATACATAGGCAGCAGATGTTAACATTGCTTAATCTAAGCAATCGCAGGTATTCAATAAAGTACAGCACAGAAAATTCACAGATAACGCATATTTATAACATGAGGTACAAGCTTAGAATTTTAGCCTTGGAATAACTAGTTCTTCACCAAGCTGCTCTATAAAACTGGAGAATTGTTCCAAGGGGAGCCTAGATGTAGGAGAGGGTTGCTCATAAATATGAGGGTGAATTTTATCTTAAAATAAAGGTAAATGCAAAATGCTGCAAACTTAAAAGTTACTGTCTAATGATTTGGACTCTCTAATATAGGGGTACAGTATCTTCAGCCTGGATATGGATCAAGGCTTTTTATCTTAAACTCATACCTGTGGCTATAGATAACAGTTTAAGTTTCTTGAAAGCAGTAATACTGCATGGAGAATCAGGTTAGAAATAGTGATGTAATATCCTGAAATACAGAAATAAGAAATCACACAGAAGTGCTCTGGGGGGCTAAATACTAACATGCAGTGTGCTAGCAGTTCAAAACATTGTCATATAAGTATGTAAATGACAAAGCAAACAAGAAAATCCTATTTGCATCTGACAAAATTATAGACAAGATTGTATTGTATTAAAAGGAAATATCTTTCTATTTGGTTGTAAAACACTCTGTAGTAACAGTTTTATGGGAAAGTTGTTCTCTCTCATTCTTAAGATCAGAAGTCTCAACAGCATAATTCAATTTATAAAGTTGGGAAATGTCTTTTGAAAAAATATCTCCTGACTCCCCCCACCTCCACCCTCATATCTTTTTCTTCTAGGAAAAGATCACATAATCCAAAAATAGGATAGTGATTCTGTTTAAGATGCTTTAGTTTTGTTGATTAATGTATCTGAAAATAAGCCTGACCCTTAATCACACAAAAAAATTTATCACATAGCAAAACTTCTATGTGTCTGTGTGCTGTTATCTGGAAACTATCCCAGGCTCGCTCTTGACGGAAAAACCTAGTAAATTCTGAAACATGGGGTCTTGTATCATCTCTTAAGGAGATTTAAAAAAAAAAAATCTTAAAAATGCGGAGAATGCTAGCAAGGGGGTCAACCAAACTTATGTACAAAACCTTTTCCTCAGGAAAAAAAAAATTGTATGTCTCTTTCTCTGCAGAGCAACCACCAACAACAAAGTACGAGAGCAGGTACTACTGGAACTGAGTTTTGTAAACTCGGACCTGCAGATCTTAAAGGAGGAATTGGAAGGACTTAATATCTCGGTAGAAGTTTATCAAAATACAGAGTAAGTATAAAGCTAAGTTACTCAATTATTAACAGATCTTCTGTTTACCACTGGAAACAAAATTGTTTCTAGGTGAACGTGAATGCTGGACAATAATTACGTGAAGGAGCAAAGAGCTCGATAGGAAGAGAACATACTTGATGGTAGATTTGTTGACTAAGGGTTAGTCTCCATATTTGTCTTTCACTTGGGAAAGGTATGTACCACTAATCCTTAGATACGGAGTTCCTTCGTGGAGGAGAGTATTGTGAGAATTGAAAGCTCTTGGGGCTTTGTGGGGAGACACGTGGCACCCAGCAGAATTTGCAGTAGTAGAATGACATTGGTTTAGTGCATTCTGGAGTGAGCAAACCTAGTGATGTAATATCTGTTCTCAAATGCTGTACATACAACAGTCCTCTCTTTAGCTGGAGAACACAAGTCCAACACTGATTTGGAGCTCAGAGCAGACTTGAGGTAATCTTTAAGGTGTGCTCTTCAGTGATAGAAATCCATAAATTAGCTGGCTGAAACAGAGAATTTTTTAGTAGATGAAGTTGGAATCGTTCCAGGATACTTTTCCAGCTTTAAAGAGCACACTAAACTTCAAGTTGCAATGGATTCCTCAAAGAGAAAACTTCAGAGTTACAGATTATTCATTGCCTGAATACTGCAATGATTTCTATATCAGTTAGATGTCTTGTTGCTCCTAAAATGAAACATTTACTATTTGATTAACATTAGCAGCTCAAGACACAATTTGAAGCACTTCATAAGAGGGAGGTATAATTTTCGGTCCCTCTTAGCGCTGTTCTCAGTTAGGTGTTAACTTCCAGGTGGACTACAAGGAATTCTTAATGCAGAGGGACTAAGCACATTTCCAGTGGGGTATGTTTCAACTGAATGCTGACCTGATGCAAAATAACTGTTTCATTTTTCTCAGAAAGAAACTTGTGCTAAAGGTCCTGCCCTCCACCCCCATGTCAAACTTTGACAACTATTTGATGTGAAAAAGTTTTTCGTTCAAGATTTTACCAGTCTTCATAAATGCATGTGAGCATAGAGAGCAGTATGAAAGTTATGGCTGTGAGAATGAGAGCAAGACTCCAGAAGTACTATTCCTTCTTCTAGCTAAAGAATATTTGAAATATTTGGATTCGCAATGAAGGGTGAGCCGTAGGTCAGTCCCCAAGGCAGGTAGAAGCCTTGCGGCTGGACAGTAGTATGCTTTTTAATCTCTCCTGATCCTACTTCCCCAGTCTGTTTTGAATGGTGTTTTACCTCACTGATGCTGTTCATTCTAAGCTCTAAATACTTTTTATGTTCTATCAGCTAAAATAATTCACTCCCTCTGTAACTGCTCTCCGGCCTTTAATAGCAAATAGCTATTAATAGTTGTTCTCCGAATCTATTGTGCATATAGTCATCAACATGAGGTCACACCCACATTATTCGGTTACGCTGTATTGTGTTACACCGATCTGAAGGGTTGGCCTTCCCAGTACTTGCACACATCTCAGCTGGATCGAGAAGCATGACTCTACGCAGTTCTGGAAATCCAGGATCACCTCCCTAACTGTTCAGTCTCCCCATGATGTTGATGCCACGGGTGTGACACCTTAGAAACTTAAAAAAATAGAAGTTCAGTTCCTTTGAATGACAAATGCTGGTGTCTACAGGACTGTGTAATTGTGATTCATTAAATTGGTAAGCTAGGATTTCTTTTGCATGTGTCTCACTTCCTTTTGGGGAAAAAGTCTTGATATAATCTGTTGTAAAAGTGTTGTGCCTTCTTCTAAAAACCTCATCAGAAATGGGATCATTTGCACTACCTGTAGTGGTGTTTTGGCTCTGTATCCTGGAAGTCCTTTTCAAGCTAGCATAGCCACTTTCTGCATCATGCCAACCAGTTTAAGGACTCTTTTTCCTCTGCTGAGGAAGCTGCACTCCTACTCCCACCTTCCCAACATGGAATTTTCACCAGTAGGAAAGTGATTTTGCTGGCTTTGCTGTTAAGACCATAAATGAATCACACCTGTGGGATTTTGTAGTTGGTAATGGAACGCTCTAAACAATGATTAGACAGTCAATCAGTTGTTTTCAGGAAAAAGGAAAATATCGGATAAACCTTATAATTGCCCAATACTGATCTGTTAAACCTACTCAACAAACTGTATCTGGAAGCAATTCTGATCTTCCTGTTTTATAATTGGGTAATATGCTTAGTGGAAGAGCAATATATGTAGTTTTTGAGGGATAAATGGTGCTCTTTAATTCATAAGAGTCTTATTAGCTAGCATTGTTTACTAATATGATCCAGGTTTAGCATTGTTTACTAATATGATCCAGGTTTAAGTCTGTGATACAGATGTGTATTCTCTTGAGGATAAGATTTTTTTTAAGTCACAGTTCTCATCCTTATTGCCCTTTGATGTTTTAGAGGTTGGCTTGTTTAGAGGCTAACACCTAGCATTGTCTACAAACAAAGTAGTTCTCAGACTTCCTAGTCTTAGACCTTTCACTGTTAAAGTTGGTATACTTTGGCCCTGCTTTTCCCTGTGTTAGACACACATCACTTCTACATATGAAACCATTGGTAGCATGTAAAATACTGTTGGTAACTATTGATGATTACCATAGCTCTTACCGTGGCAGATCTAGCAGCTGTGGAGCTGTTTTCTGTCCATATAACTTGTGTAGGTGTGTAAAAGTTGAGCTAAACTGCAGTAAGCCAGCCTTTGAGTGTCTCCTTTTCTTTCCTTGAAGGAAAAATAGGCTCAAACAAAAAAACCCACAGGCAAGTAGCTTTCCTCACTCCCTTTTTGAGGAGTCATAGGCTATTAAGCAGACTTTCTTGGACAGGAAGGAACTGTTATGAACTATGTACCTTTTACCTGAACACCCATCAGCATACTAACTTTCTGTCATCAAATGAAACAAAAGTAATTATCAACAGACAAACAGAAACCACACATTTCTGAATCTCTTTGTTTTTTTCCACAGAGAGACTTTCAGCATTCCCTTGGTACCTCTTGGCCTGAAGGAAACCAAAGAAGTAGATTTTACACTTCCCCTCAAGGTAAATTTCAGAGATGCATTTCAGAATGAATAGTTAACAGAAATAACTTCCACATCAGATTTGTTTAAAGAAGTGGAAGTAATTTATGTAAAAATTATGTTTTGTTTCATTTGCCCTAAAACTGAGATCACAATGTGTTTAAAAGTTAGCCACCAATTATTTGGGTCATTGCTACTATCTAACTAGGGCAAGGAGTCAGAAGATGTTATAAGAAATCCCACTTTAGAGACAGTAGAGTTAAACCAAAGAGAGTGAAAATTCCTTCTACAGTTTTTGGTTCCAATTACACTATTGATTACCACGCTAAATGTGAAAGGAAGTAGTAATGAAGGTTTTACTCGGCATAATGCAGTGATACTCCACTTGCACTAACCAGGCCAGCTCAGTTGGGAAGCAGTGTTGCAGTATTAATGCTACTTGTTTGTTGGCTAATATACTTTACTGGCTATTTAGGCCACCTTCTGTATTTTTTGACTACTGTGTATTGTGCAATGTAGACTTTATCTCATGGTAAACCATCTTATATCACTGTAGCATTCGTCTCTGCTTTTACTTCTGTAGGTTAATCTCCATGGTCAGATTATGGTACCACTTTATGCCATTGCAGCTTTGTTAATTTAAGTGGAATTGCACTAATATAGCTGACAAGAATTTGGCAGTCTCTTTCTGTTAACAAGGTTTTATGGTCACTTGATTCCCTTGTTATTTTAGCTAACAGGGTTCATTTGTCCCTTTCAAAACCACTAAGTGTTGTTGTTTTGAAACCCAATGGAGTTGATGTAATAGGTGTTTGGTTCCTTTACACCAGACTGAAATTTCTTGTCTTGCATATCAAATCAAATTATTAGTGCTGTTGTCTTTTTGTAGTCTCATTGCTGTTGAGTATGTATATAGTAACATTGTATGTTGTTATACTATTGACTGGAAGGGAGTAGACAACATGCAAATCAAAACAATCAATTTTGTACTGTTTGCAACTTCAGGAAAAAAAAAAAAGAATAGTTTCAGTTAATTTTAGGTATTCCAACTTGTTACCTTTTTTTTAGGACTTTATTCTGGAACATTATAGTGAAGACAGTTCTGAGTATGAAGATGAAATAGCAGATCTCATGGATCTGAGACAAGTAAGTTCAAGCATGGCACACCATGAGGTCTTCTAATCTACATTGTAAATAACAACATTCGTGTGGAATCAGAATATGCCACCATTACTTATAATTTACCATATTCTTATTGACTTCATTTCTGAGATATGGAACATGAATTTCCATTGTCCGAGAGCTTTACAATCTGAGTAGAGAACAACTGAAGAAAAGAATGAAGTTATGCAAAGTGATTGAGCTATTGACCAACTTTGTAAAGCTTGTAAATCTAAGATTTGTCTGTCTTACTTTTTTTAAAGTATTTTAAATTTAGCAGGAAGAGTGTTGAAGTGAATGCATCTGGTAAAAGATTGTAGTAGAATGGTGGTTATTCCTAACTACTGTTTATTTCCTGTATTGTACTAGAAACATAAACTTTCTTTGTAGCTTTCATAAAATACCTACAATCTTTATTTGATTAACTCTGAGACTTGCCCAACAGATCCTCTCTGCTTCCTTAAAGGTTATGTGCTACTTCTGTGCAGCTGAAAAACTCTTATTTGGAATGCATCCATATGGCCTTCAGCTTACTGTTTTCAGATTCCACACATTCTATGGTATGCTGAAGTCCAAAGGAAGCAGAGCTTTATCCTTGGTGTTTCAGTATTCATTCTGTAACTCAACAGAATACACTTTATTTTAATCTATTGTATTTTAAGGCCTGCCGCACTCCTAGCCGAGATGAAGCTGGCATTGAGCTGTTGATAAGCTATTTCCTTCAACTTGGTTATGTAGAAAACAGATTTTTCCCACCCACTAGACACATGGGAGTTCTATTTACATGGTAAGTGTGTAGTTCATGTTTGTCTTCTGTCTTTTTTTTAGAACACTGTTAATCATTAACTGTCTTCTGTTTAAATTAAAGCATGTCAGTGTGTTTCTCCCCCCGACTCCCTGCAGTGTGTGTTGTCTATTTTTTTAGTGTTAAGAGTAAACCTGAGTACAGTACATCCTTTTCATGCTTAGAGTGAATCCATTAGCTAGATTATGATTTGGGCTACAGGTTAGCACAAAGGAAAGAGAGAGAAAATAGTCTTCATTTTGGAGAACTGTAGATGTTTCCTGGACTCTGAACCTTGGTGCACAAAGCAGATGGGGAGCGGGTCAGACCTTAATTGCCCTCCTTCAATTTGTTAAGAAGATCATTTGGGCCAGAAGAGAGGAAGAGCGACTTAATTTATTATAGTGGAGTGTTTACTACATCTATGAGCATCTAAGTCTGACTCTGAATTCAGGATTTTTATTTTTATGATGAGAAAAGATGACTACCATGCAGCCAAGAGGAACTGTTAAATTTCTAGTCATAACTGCAAGAAGAAACTTTACAAGCTATAGAGAATCTGAACATGGCAATAGCTGATCTTTGTCAACATCTGAGAGCGTAGCAGCACATATGGATACTACCCCAGTATACTCTCAGCCTCTGTGATGTTTTATAGGCACTTTTGAGTTAGATATAATATGCTTATGGAGGCACTGCTGTAAAACCTGCTGAAAATTAAGCCTCAAATAAAGCTGTTCTCCGGCTTGCAGCACTTAGATTGTCCTCACAGTACGTAATGGTCTTTCTGTTCACCTTCATTTTCACTGTAGCAGAACAATTATTAAGAATTCCACCGCTCTTTTGAAAAAACAGTATTAAAATCTCTGTTGTTTTAATGGACTGCTAATCTTAACGCTTCTTCTAATATTTGTCTCCCAAGGTATGATTCCTTCACAGGTGTCCCAGTGTGTCAGCAAAACCTGTTGCTTGAAAAAGCTAGTATTTTGTTCAACATTGGAGCCCTCTACACCCAGATTGGAACAAGATGCAATCGTCAGACCCAGGGTGGACTTGAAAATGCTGTTGATGCTTTTCAGAGAGCTGCAGGTACAAATTTTAAAATACTGGGACGGTCTTTATGCAAATGTTCCTAATCTCATCCTGACATCCTGCAGATTTCTGCGTTTCCCACTGACTTCATTACACAAAAAAGGAGGAAGAGGGAAATTCAAGAAGCCTCGTGAAGAGCTGAGGTGAAGCTTTAATTCAAAACCTGGAACTGTAGTCTGAACATGCAGATAAAGACAGTGAATACTGTGGTTAATGATTAATGAACTGCAGTTCAAAGGCCTGAGTAATAAGTCTAGCGTTAACTGCTTCATTGTTCATTCTTTGTTTCACCAGCATAGCTGCTTTTACCTCAGTGATATTCCCTTGGTGTAAAATCTGTACAAAAAACAATTTAAAGGGTTGATAAAGGGCTTAAAACCTAGTTTTCCATATGGTCTCTTCAAAATTAACCTTACTGTGTTCTCTGGTGCAATTTGCAATTCACTGGAAGTTGACTACATACTTTTTCATAGAGTCCAAAGGCAAACAGGTTCAAAATAATCAGTCCCTGTCCCAAGCGAAGAAAAATACAAATCCTAATAAAGGGAATCATATCCCTTGAACTGACATGTTATGGAAGCTTTTGTTTTGTGTTTTTCCAAGTAGATTTTCTAATTTTTTGTAAATGTCATCTGTACTACACATAATGCTTAAAGACATGACCCATGTAATTAATATGTACTGTAATATTTATTTCTGCACTAACAATCTGTGGCTATTGGTTTCCACTGTATGGATAGCTTTATCAGCTACAAGCTGCAGACCACAGAGTTGGATTGTCATAAACCCCCCCTTCGGAATACACAGCTATCGAAAAAATTTGACAGTATTTCTTCATGCATTTATTAAATAGCTTGTTTTTCAACCTTTGTACTTGATCTAAAAGAAATTTCAATACTTGAGAAACTTCTCTTTTTTTGCTGCTGCTCCTTCCATTTTGCAGATAAAAGCTGACTGCTTTTCACTTCAACATATTTGCAGAATGGAATTAATTCACAAATTGAAATGCATCATTTGCTACCACAGTACCTTTGGAGGGCCCCAAAGCAATGTGCTCAGGAGGCATTTCATTGTACCTGTGCATGGCTCCGTAACACTGTTCATTATGTTGGTAGAGACATGATATAGAGCATGTATTAACTGTTTCTCTGTGCTGAATGGAAAACGTTGCACAGAGTTTATCCTCAACGAAGCTCTCGGTGTGTATATGCTTACCACGTAAGCAGAAATATGTTGAGAATGAAAAAAAAAAAAAATTCCCTGCCCTGTGCTTTCAGTTGGGCACTCCAACTGTACTTGGGACGTGCCTGGCAAGTTTGGGGTTGGGTGTTTTTGGTGCAAAAATGGCCATAATTCACATTTGTGCAAGGGCATATAAATAAGTTAAAAGATGCAAGTGTAACATGAAAAATCTCAGAGAAACCAGTAGTAGGAAAATGCAGCACAGCATTGCCAGAACTGAACGTAGTGGCAAGAAGTAAGATTACAGAAGCTGGGACACTTAAAAAGCAGAGGTCTTATCGTTACACTTTTGAAGTATTATCACCAATTAGCAGGCTAGTAGAACTGACTAAACCAGTTGGATGACATGCATGCTGAAGGTTACGCTTCCATCCATGAAACTGTTACTTAATATTTGCACTACAGTTAGTGTTTGTTTTTAATTTGATAAATGATAGAAATGATTAATATGTTGGTGGAACCAAATGTCCAGAGCAGAATCTAATTTTACTCTATTAAATATACTGTTCTAGTTTACCTACAGGGATGGAACTGAGCTTTCATTGGGACGCGCAATGCACTTAGCAGCATCTGAAAAGGAGATTCATAATTAATTAAGTTAATATGTTTGTGTTTTTTCCTTCCATCCAAGGGTTCTACTGTCACCTCTTTTTAGTTGCATAGATTTCTTTTTCTTTCTTGACCTGTGTATAAGCCTAGCCTACCACTCCCATGTACAAGTCACATTCAGTTCAGCGCAGCTTTATGGTCAGTCACGAGAACTGTTATAAGCAAATCTGAAGGTATTGCCCTTAAAACTTGCAGCTTCTGTTGCTCCTCTGAGTTGTAATTTTGAGAACTGTGCCTGGAGATGTTTGATGGGATGCAAAGCAAAACCTGTAAGTCAGTTTAATTTCACATGTACTAAGAATCCCTTCAGATTGCTATAGTGCAATACTAGAAAGCATGCTTTCAGTCTTAAGTGTTATGGTACATGCTAGAATTAAGTTCACTTGTTTCTTTCTTTGTAACGCTGACAAAACCATTTTGTAATTTCAGGAGTCCTAAGCTACTTAAAGGAGACCTTCACTCACACACCAAGTTATGATATGAGCCCAGCTATGCTGAACGTACTAGTAAAAATGATGCTCGCACAAGCTCAAGAGTGTGTTTTTGAGCAGATTGGTCTTCCTGGAATACGCAATGAGTTTTTCACACTAGTGAAAATGACACAGGAAGTTGCCAAGGTAAAATATGAGACTTAAAAATTTAGTCTTTAAAATAACTGTTTACAGTGATGTGTTACTAGCTACAGCCTCTAGTAATATTAACAGAATTTATTAAACCTAAATGCTAACAACCATTACTGAAAACCAAAAGTAATAAGGGACAGCTCACAAGCTACAATGAGAATCACAACCTTTCAGAAGATTAAAATGCAAATAGCTGCAATTAAAATATAATTATTTTAGAACTGTTATGATTTGGTTTCAATTCATAATTCATGAAGTTTAATAGAAACATGCTGGAACACTTGGGCAGTGAACTGGCCAAAGGTGTTTTACAATCTCTTTATTATATTGCTCTTTCAAACAGTACAGATCTTGTCCACAGAACAACATACAAAAGGACAGGGTTGTTTGTGTAGTTCTCTCTTAAGTACTGAACACAACCTGTCTTGTTACTTCCCAGCAGCTGGAGGTTATGCAAACCTAAAAACCTTAAGTCCAAAAGAATAACTAAATTGTAACTGGGGGAAGGGCCCTGATGAGTGGAGTCGGACTGGTAGCTGCAGAGCTGTCTTGGGACTTGCCTGAAAAATGGGGAGGCAGGCTGTGCCCCAGAAGGTAGTGTTCATACTTGATTGAGGTGGTTGACAAAAAATTGGGTATGCCAACAAGATCTGAATATGCTTTCTGAGCCGATCAGAGTAGCAGATACATAATTGGTTCCATGCCAGATAAATGGGCAAAGCCTTTCCTACCAACCCTGCAAAGCCACCCTGACTTATCTGTGGAATGGATCAGCTGCAGGGGAAGGATTTTTGGATTCTGCCAGGTGGAGTTGTTTGATCCATTAAAGCAGCATTCAGTGCTTGAAAAACTGTTTTATTTCCTCTGCATGAAAGATAGTAGCCCAGTTTTAACTAGACTGCACAAACTTAAGGCTAGATGTGACTCCACAATTTCAGAAGTGAAGCACAAAACTACTGTATAAGTAATATGCGTCACCTTTTTTCTCAGCTGAATTAACCTGATGAGATGTATTTGTAAATTAAAAACCATTTATTGTATGATATTTTTATTGAACTCTGAAGCCGTATAGATTGACTGACTTAGTCCAGCTGTTCTTGTACAAAATTGATTTACTTTTCTTGTAAGGGAAAAATCAGAGATGGAATTCCAAATTTTCTCAAAACTTACTTCCAACCCTTTCTAACAATACCCCCCCCCCCACCCCCCC